ATTTGATCAGCTAGTGGTATGTACCGAATAAACATGCAAGAATGTTGCCAGCGAATACGGAGAAGATGCTAAATTAGAACCCTCGCTAGATTGGAATCTGGTACGCGTCAAGCGTTTGAGATATGCATTTGTTGCTTACGTCGAGAAACGAGAGAAACCGGAGGTTAGTAAGCAGATCGACAATACCTGTGAATTGCACAAGAAGCCTACCTTTGCGATCGGGAGCTTGGGGAAGAACGATTACCCCCGCACAGATGTGGCCATGGAGTTAGATCTGCTGCCAGGGGAGTCAAGAGGATACTGGAAGTACCATGGTCCTGGTAAGCGGTTTAAACAGGCCAAGTCCACAGCCAAAATCAACAACCAACGGGCCCCACTTCTCTTTGGCTCCGTCGAGGAGATCTCAATCGTGGATGCTACCTTTGCTCGTAAGATGGGATGCGCAATAGGTAATAGTCAGAGACAAGAGTGCGTGGGGATAGGAGAGAACGAGAAGGACGTACCCGTATCAAGAACACCCTCACAGAAGCATATATATAATACTTCGACGCATGGGTCGGCGGCTTGTCGGATCAGGAGGCGATCTTGGGGATGGAATGGTTCCGGCAGACATCCGTCTCGATCTGGCCGATGGGTCATTGTGCCTCCCAGACGAGGTACGCATCCAGCTATGGGGGCGTCGTTAGCTCTTCAGCGGAAATTCGAGACTGATCACGTTCGACTAACATGGTAATGTTCCAGTGGCAGGGTCCATGGAGATCGCTGTCCGGAGATCGCTGTGACACGAAGTGATGTGGAATTTCTCATGGAAGCAAGGATTTGTATGGATCCAGGAATTAGGTAATGGATACAGTATCGCCAAGTGTGAATGTGTGGGAAGAAGAGTGACTGTAGAACATGTGATAAGTGATTGACTTGGAGAAGAGCTAAGGATGGGCCTTAGAGTCTGGAAGCATTATGATGCTCAGTCCAGACTCGCCCTCGCCCTGATTACGGGAACTAATGATTGTGGAAAGTGTTGGTGCAACCGTATTGTACCAAACACCCGTATTACCTTAGTTCGACCCAGAAAACGTCAGTCCCGAGCTAAAGAACGTCACCAACGACGACTAGTTACGCACGATCCAAGAAGAGACGGACAACAGATGGAGTTGTAATATGTTCTACAAGCAGTGTGGAACATTATACCCCAGAGTCCGACCAAGTATCCTAGAATCCCGTGATTCCTGAATCTTGAATGAGAACCCCTGAATCCTGAAGGAAATCTCAGAGTCCAGACGTCAAAGTGTCTGGAATCAAGGGTATATACGTGTGTATGAAGCCATTACGCTACGGATTTAGTGATTCTCCAATGAAACAAGACAAGATCCAGAGATTCAACGCTTTCTGTATTGTATTTGGTTGTATTATAAAGATAAGTGTGTTCTGGGGTTTAGGCCTCAGTCATAGTGGTGAACTCAGAAAGTGAGTCACACGCTAAGCACACAGACTTCCTACAAACTACCAACCAATGGTCGAGACCAAGAATTCCCGAATATTGGGTTCAACCCACAGGGATTATAGACAAAGGCCACACGTCAAACTCAAAGTTCCCAAAGGTTCTCGGAGTTCTGACCCTCTGTGTATCCGAGTCTCCATCCGAGTCTCCTAGAGTCTCGGGGCCAGAGCGAGAACTGTACGCCAAGGGGTGAAAGTTTCACCGACTTCACCACAATATCCAATCGACTGGTATGCAGAATGCTGAAGGCAGCGGAGGCGGAACCTTGAGTAGAACGTTCATTTTCGCTCAGCGAACTGAGCCCTGTCAAGAGGATGTCATCATGGATGAGTCTAGTGACTATTCGGATTTAGAAGCAACCCATAGCTCGAAGTTAGAGCCCAGGCGTCATCGACGACATCAGCGTCATGAGAGCCAAGGACACGGGCGCGAAATGAGTGTGTCTGAGTATACATCGTCCCAAGGCGGCAGTCGGACATGCTCTCCGAAGCGTAGCCAGAGATCAAGTCACTCGGTGCGATCAAGTTTCGTTGGAACCTCTCGCCGGGGCGTCCTCTGCGTCCTCAGGCGCAGCTCAAGTAGCCATCAATATTATGCTACAACAGCAGGCAGGAATGGCCGAGTTGCGTAATAAACAGGAAGCTTTCTATGAGAGACAACAGCGGTTGCAGATGGAGTCGGTTATGCAAGTACAGACACAGTGACAGCAAGATCAGCTTCAGAAGCAGCTGTTGCAGAACGAACAGCAGATCGAGCGAAGCCTAGACAGCATGGTCTCTCGGAGAATATGCAGGTGCTAGCAGACAGACTTGCTCAGCTGGAAAGCTTGAAGCCTCATCCTTCTGCGTACGAACGAGGACCGAATCCTAGCTCTCCGTTCGTGATGCCTGACCACTCTCAAGCTCAGAGATCTCCAAGTCCGGAGTCAGAGACTCTGATTTCGAGAGTTCACTTTGAAGAATCACTCGAGCACGAGAAACAGCGCATGCATCGTGGGTTCGACGATAAGCTTGCTCAACAGGCCCAGAGTGTTGATATGGGACAGAAGAACTGGTTGACGAACGCCCAACATGCTCTGGAGGAACGCGAGCGAATGCTCAACTCTCAATGGTCTAAATTCGAACAGCAACTCAAGAAGCGAGAAGAAGAATGGAAGCTTGAGGGGGAAGCGATGGCGACCGTCATGCAAAACCAGATGTTAACGGTACTTCAAGCCGCCCTTACTCAGATTGCCCCCAATTCGGCTGAATCATGGGGACTCAGTCAGAGTCCCTGAGTCCCCCTGATTCAGCAACTCTGAATCCAGTGCGAGCGGTCGCGACCAAGAATAGCCAGACGCCCATCGTAGGTACGTCACCAACAGTGGCATCCGTCCAACAGAGTGTTGTGGTGGACCAAAAGCGAGAGATCAAGCGCGAGACACTTCCTGTCAAGGGCGCCACTCGCCAAGAGTCGTCCAGTGCTTCGCAGACTCCGTCTGCCGTGAGGCGAACGGAGCTGCAAGTTGCGAGGAGGACTACCGCACGAAAGGGCGAGTCTACATCATCGTCGTCGAAGAGGTCACAGCCGAAGAAAAGGAAAGAGAAGTCTGATCCTCCTCCTCACGACCCGGATGACTCGGAGCCCAGGGACAGTGACAACGATGCGAATCGAGGAGGAATCTCCGATTCTAGCGATGCTGAAAGCTTTTCAAGTGAGGATGAAGACATCGGGGTGACTACGACGACCACAGCTGACAGAACAACGATTTGGAACTGTAGACCTTACATTGGCTACACTAACCTGGAGAATTTCGACGAAAAGGCGTCCAGGGATAATCGAGTCAATTGGTGGGAACGATTCTCGGATATGACATCTCAGGGACCCTGGTCAGACACGATGAAGATCCGTCACTTCAGGAGCCGGATGCCCACAGCCATCAGGGACTGGTTTACGCAGCTACCCAAATCTACACGTCACGATTGGAAACAAATATCACGCAGATACAGGAAGCTGTATATTGGTACCACAGGTTCATACTCGGAAAGGTACTTCACGATGAAGATGTGAGACCCCATTGCAGTTCCTCTATCGTCTAAATTCGGCTGCAGTCAAGGCTGAGGTCAAGTTCTAGTCGAGATCTAAGCTACGTGAGTCTCATATTCGAAGATTCATCAAGAAACTTCGAAACGATCAGTTGAAGACAGCTCTCAAAGGTCACAGGTTTCAGAGTATCACGGACTTGGAACGAGCATTACGTCGCCATGAAGACATGTGGCGTGAAGAAGGATATGAATCTCCAGTTCCTCAGAAGCCCAGAGTTTTCCACGCCGACAACGTTCACCAAGGTCGGACTCAGAATCGTGGACTGACTAGACGTCTGGGACGCGCTTTTGGGACCGAAGGTGACGCCAAACAGACGCAGGACTCAGAGTTCCAACATGAGTCTCAGAATCCTGAAGTGTTTGCAGAACAAGCTGAGGCGCAATCAAAGCCGATCTCAGAGTTTCCCAATAGTGGATTTGATGGAGAAGTATTTCGAGTCACAGATAACCAACACTGGAAGTCACCCAACCCGCATCCGGGTCAGGGCGTAGCGGGATGGAGAAGTATTTCGAGTCACAGAGAACCAACACTGGAAGTCACCCAACCCGCATCCGGGTCAGGGCGTAGCGCGGCAGCGAATTGGGACGTCTTATGTGAGAAGTGTAAGATGTGGGGACACCCTGAAGTCAACTGTTGGACTGGAATGATATCTGAACGATGCCAAGCCAAGGGGCACCCGGCTAGAGTCTGTACTAGAACCCCTTGTGCAGAATGTGGAGGTTTTCCCGGTGGAATATCGTGTGAACAACGGAAAGCTTTCCAGCCAGTAATGACACTGGCGAAGCAAGGGAATGCAACTGAATCACCACCCAATTGCGAAGTCTCCTTCAGACCAAGGATCACGCTTCAGGGGCGCAGCAGTTAAACCAATCAGCCCGCCGGATGGGGATCCGGACCCCCTGAAATGTGTGTGTTAGTATGTATAGGACCAGAACGAAGGACGCGACTACAAGATAACCAACAATGCATGAATTTAGTTCAATCTGAAATCATCTACCCTGAACAATTGTACTCAGAGTACCAGCATTCAGATGACCCGATCCCAGAGATCTCTGAGCCCGAATCTCAGGATCGCTTGGAAGCGCCGTTGAAACCGGGTCAGAGGTACGGATGGTGGGAAGATCACGAACATGGAGACATGCATGGATTGGCGACGATACATGGAGCTGTGAACGACTCCAGAACCAGAATCTTATTGGACACTGGTGCGTCCGTGAGCATTATGAGTCTTGATCTAGAGCGTAGGCTCAAGCTCAATCTCCGGACGCACCGTCAGACCAAAGTTCTTGGTTTGGGAGGAGTGACCACTTACACTACTACTCATGCCCGAGTGAAAATAACTCTCGGATGGAGTGTGGTGTACGTCCTGAATATCTGGGTTTGAAATATTGGAGAAGGTGTTGATGTCCTGCTACGCATGAATTTTATGCTCTCGGCAGGTGTCCGACTCTGCATACGAGACGTCATAGTCAAGCTGCCAGCTGAACATACTGTGGTTATGTATGACGATAATCCCAAGTCTCGTGGCATGGACTTCCCTGTGTGCCCAGAGGAAAGCATACACCTGCGTCCTGGTTAGGACGCCATTGGACGAATTCGGTATAGCCAGTCTAACCGTCAACCTGAGTTGATGTGGGCTGGGAGAGAAAAAACTGGGTGACCAAAGTTCTGTATTCTGCCAGATCCTGGGCGACTGCCGTCAAGGTTGTTAATGTTTCAGACCAGAATGTGTGGATCGACACCAGGACCGCTGTTGCGCGTATTGTGGAATACGGACAGTTCCCAGGACAGCCTGGATTCGTTCGTCCTGGGAAGGCGCGGTATGAAGAGTGGCAACAACTAATCCATGAGTGTACTGTGTCACGCCAGACAAGGATGTGTGCTGAACGACTAGAGCAGATTCTCAGGGAGCGGGAGCCTCCGTGCGCCCAGACTCAGAGATATCAGTGGCCTATCAAGCTCTGGATGCGTCCACAGTACCAAGTCGCTGAAGTGCAGATAGTGAAGTTGCAAGAAATACCGAACCCTTGGATATGACACTCAAGATCAATGGGAATTCAGCAGCCGTCATGAACACGGTCGCAAGAGACCTCGAGGAACCGAAAACCGTCCTGAATCGGCAGGAGAGACCTATTCTGACCCGGGCCCAAAAGTTGAGATCCTGGATCCAGAGAATGTCGCTGATGCCGAGGAGGATGTTCAAGGTCACGAGCCGTCAGCGGATGTTCAATCACAGACGAGCTGCTCGACACCGGTCTACAGGCTGGAAGCAGAATATGCTAGGGTGATGCGAGTCTCTGCTGAAGAACTGGACCTGGAACCTGCTGTATATCTTCGAGAAGGAAGTGATTTGATGGCACAGCTACGAGACCAACTTATCATGTTCCCGGAAATTGAGAAATGTGCCCCAGAATGTAACATCGATGAAGCAAACGTCGGGGTTCCCGGGGTAACAACTCCAGAGATGGAAGCCAAAATGAGAAGGATCCTGAAACGCCATCGCAGCATCTTTCTGGGAGATGGTAACGCGGCTCCGGCCCCGGCTAGGGGCGTAGGGTGTGACATCGATGTTGGTGAAGCGAAACCGGTAGCTTTGCGTGCAAGACAGATAACTGAACCATTCTTGGAGAAGGTGTTTGAACTCTTGAAAACTGCTAGAGGCGGAGCTTATTGAGCATTCAGAGTGCGAGTGGTCATCACCTATTGTGACCGTACTGAAGAAGAACGGCATAGACATCGGGATGTGCATTGAATACCGGCTTCTGAATTTGCTCATCAAGCTATCCCGTTATCCTCTACCACTGATTGATGATCTGTTGGTAGACTTTAAATCCGCGGTGTGGTTTATGAATATCGACATGGTGAGTGGATTCTGGGCGGTGCGAATGTCTGGACGTGCGAAGTTGATCTCTGCGTTTGTCTGCCCGTTCGGCCATTTTCAATGGCTCAGAATACCCTTTGGGTTGAGGAATGTGCCGTTAATTTATCAGAGCATCATCAACAACTGTCTGTGGGGATTCGTCCGTCTGCCCCCCTGAAGAGGAAGCGATGGCTGACCAAGAAGTTCTGGGGTCCTTGAATCTAGAGCGTCAAGAATCCCTGAAACCTGAAGTGGATATGCGGGACTCAGCGATCCTTTCATTGGACATGACTATATTCCGACGCAATATCCCGGCTCCATCACAAATGGGTCCGGTCCTAGGAAGAAGCTCGTATATTGACGATATCGCTCATGGGGCGTCGACCTGGGATCAACTATGTGAGGACCTGGACGCGTTGTTGTACAGACTACGATACTGGAATATGTCTGTGAGCTTACTGAAAAGTTAATTCGGGAAGTTGACTATCCCATTCCTCTCTCACGAAGTAAGTGCGGACGGAATCAGAGCCTTGCCGAAGATTGTCAAAGGCATAGAGGACTTACATTTCCCGTCGACGTACAATGGGGTACAGTCTTTCTGAGGAAGTCTGAATTACTACAATAAGTTTATTGAGGACTTACCAGTAGTTGCCGCTGCCCTCTACGAACTGGTCGAAGAACGTGTACGTGCTGGACGGAAACTGGAAACTCCAAAGGAGTCTTTCGAGATACTGAAGTGTAAGTTCGTGTCGACCCCGCTGCTGCGACATCCAGACAGAACCAAGCCTTTCGTGATTATTCCGCATGCTAACCCGTGGGCAGCGTGTGCTGTTTTGGGTCAGGAGCATGAAGGACTCATACACCCACTACAAATTACTGGCAGAGTGTTGAAGGAATCAGAGCTACGTTACCACATAGCCGAGAAGGAAGCTCTCGCAATCTTGCGGACTCTGGAAGTTTTCAGACCTCTAATCCATGGATCAGAAATCCCAGTTGTGGTGTATACACGCTACTCTGTCCTAAAGTGGTTACTAGGGTCCAACACCGCAGATGGACGACTACTGAAGTGGGGGCTGGAACTATCAAGATGGACACTGGAAATTCACCGGATTCAGATAGATGAGGACGGCCTTGCGGCCGTCCTTGGGTCCGGCATTACTCCCAGGGAACATTTAGATAAAGTTGCAGAGACCCTGATTCCCGCCAAGGGGCGTCTGAAAGTGATTCCCCTAGTGAGTCTGGAGATGTTGGACGCCAATTATCAAAGCTACGTTCTGAGTTTTGATGGTGCTGCGAAGGTTTCTACTCGTCGAGGATGTTGCGGATATATACTGGAAACTGCCAGGATGGGATGTTGTGAAGGCTGGAGGACGCACTGTAGAAGGTGTGACGGTCAACGATGCTGAATACCATGGTCTGATCCTGGGGCTAAAGCTCGCTATGAAGTATGACGTCAAGGAGCTTGTGGCAGTCGGTAATTCTCGAATCGTCGTCAAACAAGCTCAGGGTCTGGGCAATTGCAACCGGCCTAACCTGCAACGACGCTTAGCTGAGTATCAGGATCTCAGGAAGAATTTTATGTCTGTGAAGTTGATTCCTGTTAAACGTGAATTTACCCAAGCGGCTGACTACTTGGCACGCTGGAATGTGGAGGCTTACCAGGTTCTAGTTCACGTTCTTGAGTCCGTTAATGGTCGTGCAGCTCGAGATGAAGATGGTGAGCTCATCAGAGCACCCTGGACCGCAATTTCCCACGATCGCATCACCGTATTCTACTTTCACGAAGTGCGTGACCTGAACTCTGAGACGCTCGACAGAATCAAGGATTACGTGGTCTTCATGCGAGTCAACGCCAAGACTTGGTGGGCGATACTCCACTGATTAACTATCTCCTTCTTGTCGCAAGATGCTGCTAACGCAGATGCTTCCCGTGACTTGTACGACGAACGTCACAGAGACGTCAAACGGCTTCGGACGCAATACGAGGCTCTGCTCAAGCGACTATTTGCGTCCCTGGATTTCCAAAGACACTGCTCTACGAACCTGGTCTGTGGACGCTTCCTGTGAGTGCGTGCCACTGGATCCTCAATGATCCTGAACGTTCGCCCCTTATTCGCCGCGGAGTCCATGACTACGCGGCTCAACTTGACGACTTGGCCGCGGAAGATCCCGTCCGCACTCAATGGGCTGCGGCACACTCCGAAGATGACATTCTGGCTACCGTCCCTTCGTTCATGCACCCATTTCTTGAGATGCCTGAACGCAGAGCCCGGAATGTGATTCCCTTATCTGCGGCGTCTCAAGCGTGAACCCCTTTCGTAAGTTATTGTTCTTCACGTACTCTTGATGTCGGCGTCACTCTTCTTTTTCTAAGTCTCAGGAAGTAAGCCCGTTAATACCAACGGTTTTCCACTTCTCGCTCTCGTATCTTGACTTCTTTACCACTTAAGGATAATCTTCGTCATGACACTAACGCACACATTAGTCATTCTCTGAGATCCTCACTAGATCCAGGAAACGCCACTCACGGTTCTCAAAATCAATACCACACATACAAGTTCCTTGGGAGAGCTATCTTCGGCGGTTGTTCCCAGGATGATCATCCCCCGGCTTGTATAGCTTGGAAACGTGCTCTTGCCTTAGTACCTTGGTCGAGCTCGTACAACAATGCCCCACAATTAGGTTGAGCTAGAGGTATCCACTCTGGATCCGCGTATCGTTTCCACTTGATCAGATATTGCCGAGAACGCTTAGAGGTCCTTGCGCGTTTGACCCACCTGAGATCCAGGATCTCTTCAACCTCGTACTCATCTTGGGCAGTGTCTGGCTCCCAACTATCCTCGGGTAGCAAGGCTGCGTCAAAATCGTCATCCTCGGAGTCTTGTATATCTGAGATCGGTCGCTTAGGGAACAGAGCCAACGGTTTGAGGCGACTAACGTGGACCCACGGGTTCACACGGTAACCTGTGCCTGGGATCTTGAGCTTGACTCTGAAGTCATCATGAATTTCGTCGATTCGAAAAGGTCCATGCCACAGGTGGGCTAACTTGCGGCTCAATCCTGTGCGGACTTGGGAAATATACAACCATACAGAATCACCGGCTTCAAAACCTGCCTTTACACGATCCGAGAGATCTCTCCACTTACGATTCAGTGCAGCAGATCTCGCACCCTTCGCTTTCTTTTGCAGGTCTTCGGCGCATGCGAGGGCATAGCTATAATACCTTTGCGTTTTCCGTCGCCACTCCAAAGCCGTTCGTTCTTGGATTGTGGAAGGCTTCGGGCCCAGCATTGCGGATATGATTCCCTGAACGTCCCAGCCATGGACCAGGTATACGGGGTGTCCAACCTCGCAGCATCGAACGCGGTATTCAAGGCGAACATAAGAAGTTCTACATGTTTGTCCCACTCTGGTAAACTTCAGCGACATACGCTCTGACGCTTCGCATTACAGTATGGACTGAGCGTTCCTGTTGTCCATTGGCCTGAGGCCGGTATTCTAACGTCGCACGTTGCTTACTTTTCAGAAGGTCTCTGAATCTAGCGAAGACCTTACTCATGAAGCGAGGATCTTGGTCATGTCTCAGCATTGAACTTGCCCCAAATCTTCTGAATAGACACTCTTAGTATCCTTCAGCAACATTTTGCGCTTCGGTTTTCCGCATGGGTTTCCACATGACATATCCTGAGAATTGATCTTGGAACAGCAACAAGTATGTATTTCCACGATCGGACTCAGGTAGCTCAGTGACAAAATCCATCGAGACCACTTCGAACGGATATATCGGTTCGATATTGCCAGGTGACGGGCAGAGGACCGGTGGTCGCCCCTTGGCTGACGCACAATCTACACACTCTCTCACAAACTTCTGCACATTGGCGTACATCCCGATCCAGTAGAACTCTGAACGTAATCGTTCAAACGTCCTGTTGATTCCTTGGTGACCGCCTTGAAAGTCTTCGTGTGAGTAGTGTAGCATGTCAGCACGTAAAGTCTCTGGGACCACCAGTCTGCGTTCCGACTGGTTTTTGTGGGGCCTCTCAGAAGTGGATGTGCTCAGCGTGTAAAGGACTTCTCGCGAATCCAACACAAACGGATCAAAACCCTTCGCAATCTTCTTAACCTGGTTCCGTGGACGATCTGACACGTCTCCCTTTAGGACCTTTTTCATTTGCTGGATCCACAGGTCTTCGTCTTGGTGAACCTTGATTCTCCTCCAACGTTCATCCTGGTATTCAGACTGGTCTACAGGAGTCCGGGACCTGTGCCCGCTTCCGCACGTGATCTCGTCATCACCATCAATGCCTCAGCCGCAACAGCTAAAGACTCTGGTATTCCAGCATCAGGACTATCCACTCCGAGTTTGACTTGGTCAGAACAAACCGCATCAGTTACCGGGGTGCCGGGAGCATCAGAAGGCTTCATGATCGTTTCAGGGATTCTGGATACGAGACGTAGATGCACTATCTCATCGGGGTCATCGAGCTCCCAGGATTCTCCAAGCAAGAGAGTCTTAGAGGTCAAGATGTGGATGTCAGGCTTGTGTGGTTCGAAGTCAGGATACCCAAGGGACTGTTGACAGGGATTGAACTTCACTAGAATCCCAAATATGTGATACGAAACATGAGTCTCTCAACATGCGGCCTTCACTGTGGCCAAGTATTTCTCCTGAAGGGCATCGTAAGCCAGTTTAGCCAACTTGGACCGAACGCGCCTTGGACCCTCAGATGAAACTTCAATCTTCTCCCGACGAAGGAATGTGGCAATGGAGAGGGTAGGCATTTTGCGCTCACGAGGCGCCACCAGATCGCGAAACGGCCTGGGACTTGGGGATGGGGATGACTCGAGACTTGGATTTCGCGAACGCACCGTGGCTCTTAGGGTCACCACCCTTGTCCCTCTTGTTTCCAGTCTTGTACTCCCCCAGACAGGCAGGAGTCTTCACTCGACTCGTCGTTCTCGGCAGCAGCCTCGGCTCGTGCTGTCTTGTCCAGTCCGCCTGCGACAACTCGTAAGATGGGTCCTGAGTCTCATCGTCCGAAGATTCAGGGAGTGTGGCTTGGAGAGCCTCAGTCTCCCGCGTCGACTGTTTCTGCTTCTGAACCTTGATGAAGGAACGACCCAGAGGATGCCAAGGAGACGTTGGATACCTCTTGGCCTGGCGTAATCGTAAGGTCCCCTCTGCACTACTATAAAATGCATCTGGGACAAAACGACACCAGGGAGTCTCACCCAGCAGACCCGCGTGAATCACTTGGGCCAACATGCGACAGATAGACTCCCGAGGCGCGAGGTGGTGGATACCTTGACTCTCAGAGACCCATTTCATAGTGCCCTTGAAGTTCATCCCGGATAGCAAGAGGTATTGAACATTCTCGCGAACGTCAGTCCAGAGCATCCCAGCTGGGAGAGCACGACCGCCCTCCGCCAGATCCCGAGCATCGACGACGTTTCTGGGCGAGTACACCAACATATTCCTGGGCGAATAACCCCGAGGACGGATTCGGCGGTTGACTCCATGTTCCGGGTCCCGAGCCGGGCTCAGGGCTGGACGCTTGGACATAGCCGCGTCTCGTGCAGCAGACGCCTTTCGCTTCTGGTTACCTGTCCGCGACCCGGAGGCGAAGTTCTCTTGTTACGTGTAGGAGGCGACAAGTCGGGGACACTAGGACGTCTTGAACCCGAAGAACCCGACGACGAGTCACCATTGCCGGTTCAAAGAGATGACTTCTCGTACTCAAAACACGCGCAGCGTGGGTCGTACCGGGCAACCACATTGATGTCCGTGAGCCAACCCGTGTGCTCTCAGCGAAGTGGTGAAGGCGCGCCGCGAGGCGCATCCAGTTGAACATCACGATGATCTTCGGCTGATTACCCATGAGTAAATCCACGAGGGCGTTCACCTCCAAGATGCGTTCTGCAGCGCGCCTCTCGGCGGTTTGACGAGCAGCTTCAGAGTCCCGAAGCTGAGTCTGGAGCCGAGCAACTTGGTCTGTCAGCTCCCGGACCCGCGTTTGATGGTGAAACTCAGCGTCGTGATGACCTTGGCGCAGGAAATCTTCACCGTCGATGCGATCCTGCTTGAGGGTTCGTACACGGTGACTCCAGTACCGACACATGGCAGTCCACTCTCGACGCATGATGTCGAAGTTCTCACGGGCCACCAGGGTTTCAGACGACAACCTGCCGTAGCCCTCCGCTTTCGAAGCCACCCGGAGATGACGAATCTTGTCCAGGAGCCGGCGAATGAAGGACAAAGAGTTCATCATTCTCCGCCAGGCGATCCAATGGGAACTGGCACAACGGCGCAGGCAATTCGCGCTGACCAGCGATGGAGTTCACCTCTGCAGCAAGCGAAACGGGCGCAACGCGCTGGCGCAACATCGGCAGACAGTCAGCAACGTATTTGCCCATGAGCAGGTTGAGGTCTTGAAGGTCCGTGGCGTCCAGACGTTCGAAGCATAGGAGCACTTCCAGGCCACCATGCACAGGATATACCTTTGCGCCACCTTGGATTGCGATGATCGACGCAGGTACGTCGACCAGATGAATGTCGGAGCCTCCGTAGACAGGCGGCGCATCCCAACTAACCGGAGCCAAAGCCATGCCAGTTTCTGCGAGCGGCGGAACCCCGGAGATCAAGCCAGCCAACGATATTTCCTCCACTTCGGCAGGCGTCAGGAAGTTGGCGGGAGGAAGCACACCGGTGGATGTCCACAGGTGCCGTGGCGGACAATACTACAGCGCCCGAGTCCGCAGTGTCACCGTCGGCAGACGGCGTGGTGTCGGCCGCAGGATCAGTCCCGTGGTCAGGGACGACCGCAGCCTCAGACGTCAGCGCCGCAGGAGTTGTCTCGGCCTCAGATGTCGGCGCCGCAGGAGATGTCGAGCTGGGAAGAAGGGTGTCTTGGACCATGTCGGAAAGAAGAGTGAGGCGACTTGTGTGGAGCGGGGAAAATCTTGAAGTGGCAACGTTCTCTGAAGAAAGTTCGTACCGTTGATGGACTGATGGGAGTCGACCGTTACCGGTATATTGGTACTCAGGACTTCGACTCGAAAATGAAATGATGGATGAACTTGGAAATGAATTGGAAACCGGATTCAGGAGAGTCTGAATGGGTCTCAGAGAATGAGTGATGACTTGCCAACTCGAATGAAAATTCTGCAATGACCAGCCATGGCTAGGAGGGGCGGTTGACACGAAGTGATTTGGAATTTCTCATGGAAGCAAGGATTTGTATGGATCCAGGAATTAGGTAATGGATACAGGATCGTCAAGTGTGAATGTGGGGGGAGAAGAGTGACTGTGGGATGTGAGAAAAGCGATTGACTTGGAGAAGAGCTAAGGATGGGCCTTAAAGTCTGGAAGCATTATGATGCTCAGTCCAGACTCGCCTTCGCCCTGACTACGGGTACTAATGATTGTGGAAAGTGTTGGTGCAAACGTATTGAACCAAACACCCAGTATTGCCTTAGTTCAACCCAGAAAACGTCAGTCCCGAGCTAAAGAACATCACCAACAAGGACTAGTTACGCACAAGACTCACGATCCAAGAAGAGACGGACAACAGATGGAGTTGTAATATGTTCT